GGGGGAGCCGCCCCAGAGCCCCCAGCACAGCACGATGACACTGTGACCTCTCGTGCTACGACCCTCTAATGCAGTTTCTCATTTTGTAGTGAGCACAACCACCAAATTACTTTCATTGCTACTTAATAATTGTAATTTTGCTGTTTTGAATTCTAATGTTTCATAACATCTGATGTTTCCGATGGTTTTACAGGGGTCGTGACCTACGGGTTAAGAACCGCTGCTCTAGATTTTACAGTGGCGCTTCTTAACCCCGTGGCTCTGAGCGACTGCATAGTGTGTATATTATAAATATATATATATATCGTAAATATATATATTTATATATGTATACTTTTTAGTTTTTCAAGACAGGGTTTCTCTGTAGCTTCAGAGCCTGCCCTGGAACTCACTCTGGAGACCAGGCTGGTCTCAAACACAGAAATCCGCCTGCCTCTGCCTCCAGAGTGTGGCTGTCTGGCTTTTTTTTTTTTTTTTTTTTTTTTAGTTTCAATAGCTGTAGCCCACATAACAAAAACTCTCTGGGCTTCTTGGTCATTTTTAACATGTATCAGGACCCAAAAGTTTGAGAACCACTGCCCTAGAATCTTAAGAATGCTAGATGTATGCTTAAACAAAAAAATTAACAATCATCGAGGCACAGTGGCCAATGCCTTTGGGTTACTCCAGGGAGGCAGAGGCAGGCGGATCTCTGGGACTTCGAGGCTGGCCTGGTTGGTTTGGTGAGGCCCAAGCCAGCCAGGGCTAAAACAAGAAAACAACAACAAAAGTAAGACATAGAAAACCCCAGCCACTGGATGGAAGGAGAAGACGACTTGAAGGGATGACGTTTAGGGGAGGAGCTCCTGGAGTCGTTTGGGGCAAAACTGAGAGTGGCGTCCACTGATCTGAGTTTCTTTACTGTGACTTCTGCAAGAGAAGAAAGAAGTGGAGAATTTGAATTTAGGCGTAGAGTGAGTTCCTCCTGGTTAATCTAGAAACATCCTCATGGTGCTGGCATTTCCCACCTGCCAGACACAGTGTTGAGTATTCTACAAGAGAGGGGCCATCTTCTCAAAGGCCCTTTGGGTCATCTGAGGTCAAGCAGACTCTACTCCTGGGCTGCACTCTGAGCTTTGGAATTTCTTACATTGTTTACATGTTTAAATACTCTGGGTATGTAATATTCAAGCCTTAATGCAGGCTGCACAATGGTCCCCCTGGCCATTGTTCTTTCACAATTTGAGAGTTTTCCTCCACGACGGTCCCTTTACTTTGATGGTACCCTACTTCACTCTGCAATAAATTCTGATTGTCTTCTGCACTTAAAAACTTATGCTGGTCAGATGGCTCAGCAGGAGGTCAATTGCAGGAGGCTGATGTGGGATTCCACAAGGTTGTAGAGAAAACTGGTTCCAGAGCTACCCTCTGACATCCAACCACATGTGGTACACATTCATATACATACAAAATAAAATATCTAAAAAGGGGGACAGACTGCTGGGGTGGCTGTGTGTGTGTGTGTGGGGGGTCCCAAGAACCACATGACAGGAGGAAGAAACAACTCAAGTTGTTCTTTGACCTCCATGGTGTGTGCATGCCCATACCAATAAATAAATGTAATTTCTAAATTACAAAAGAAAGGCTATTGACTGAGTGCAATAACATTCCTGTAATCCCAGCACTTGGAAAGTGGAGGCAGAAGGATGGAGATTTTAAGATTGTCCTCAATAAGCAGGGTGTGGTGGTGTGAGCCCCATTTAATCTCCAAACTGATGGAGGCAGGGCGGGCAGATCTCTTGGTTTGAGGCCAGCCAGGTCTACAGAGAAACTTTGTCTTGAAAAACCAAAGACAAAGAAATAAAACATCCTCAACCATGTGTCAAGTTTGCAGTCAGCCTGGGCTACATGAGACCTATCTCAACAAAAATTTAATAAATGTATTGTTATTTTGCCTGTTTTATTTTACTCCTTCTCTTACCCCATCAGCCGAGGTTTCCATGTGGCAACCTAGAACTCAAGATTCCGCCTCAGTCTCAAGTGAGTGCTGTGCCTAGAAGCATAGCCCAGCACACCTAGCATTTTTTTTTTAATGTAGATACTAATTATTTCAGTTTATGTGTGTGACTTATATCTCTAACAGACTGAACTGCACCCTAGGAAAAAGACCCAGACTGAAAAGTCTGAGGCAAGCTATAGTTAGAACAAAGGATTTAGACCAGGTCTGTGTGAAGTCTACCCCTGTGGCTGCTTGCCATGCCAGCAGCCAGAGTCCCACCACGGACTAAGGAGGCACAAGGAGGGAAAGACCCAGAGACCGGCACTGTTACCTTTGAGTCCAGGCTGGCAGCTGTTACCGTCACCTTTGAGTCTTCACGGAAGGTCACGTAGGCAGCTACGGGAAAAGTTGGAGGGGGAGGGGCGTGAGTGGGAGGGGGGCGAGACTTCAGAGAGTAGGGGGGAATGTCCTGTGGAGCCGAGCCGTTCACACTTACCCATCCAGCCCAGTGCCTTGATGAGTCCCAGGAGGAGGAAAGCGGACAGGAACAGGCCTATGCTGTCCTCGACTGAAGGCCCAGAGAGGCCTAGCAAGGGAAACAGTGAAAATGAGCTTGGTGTTTTCTGAGGTTCCGCCCTGGTTCCGAGGTTCTCCAGGTTACCTGCCACTTCCAGGGTGACTTCAGCACTGCGACCCGATGCGGGCAGGCTGGGGTGGTGGACCCGACAGGCATAGCGGACTCCATGCTGCTGGGCAGTGACTGGGGGGAGCCGCAGGTGCCCGGCCTGGCTGACAGAGCCATCAGAATGGTGGCGGACGGTGGAGAGCCACGTCCCCCCCTCAGCCTTTCTGGAACCGCCTTCTGGACCACCTCTGAGCTCCCACTCCACCTCCAGGCCTTCCGCAGGGTAGAAATGGGACACGAGGCAGAGCAGCTCCGGGGGTGCCTCTCCTGGGGCAGCCCACACAAGGGGTGCTGGTGTCAGAGACACTTTGGGGGACTCTGAAGAAAGAATAGGAAAGTGAGGGATCCCCCTGGATTTGTCCCCTGGCTTCCCTCCCCCCTGCCATGTCCCTCACTCACTGTGCACAGTCAGCTGCAGGGAGACCTGTCCTTGCAGATAGGGCAGGTGCACAGTAGCCAGGTAGACACCCTCCTGAAACGGTTTCACAGCTGGCAGCCAGAAGGTCCCGTTCCCAGTCCACGGGCCCCAGGGCTCATTGTCATCCCAAGAAGCAAATGCCACAGCCTTTTCTTGGGCTGGTGGCATTTCCTCAACCAGCCCAGGAGTCGCAGCCAGCAGCAGGTGACCTTTGCCCCTGTGCTGGCGTCGCCACTCCAGCCCAAAGGGAGGGGGACCTGTGGCCGGAGACAGAGCATCTTCCGGAGTCGGGGGCATGTAGGCAAAGCTCAGGTCCATCACTGCATCTTTTCCCAGTTGGATCCGAGGGGCAGGACTGTGGGTGAGGACAGTCAGCACCACTGGGCATTGGGAGAGAGCGGAGAAAGGGAAGGTAGAGGCGCAGAGCTGTGGGCCTGGCCAAGCTCCAGCTGACCTGCCCCTCAGAGACATTTGTAACACTACCTCCAGGCCCTCCCTTTACTCTGGTTCTAAGCCAACGTAGCTAAGAATGTACAGGGAGTCTAGGGGCAAACCAAGGGGATGTGTGTATGTGGGGCGGAGATATGGCCCTGGTCAGTCTGTGCTGAACACTCTACAGTTCTCAAGTTCTGGAGGTCCAAGATCTAAGGGCACATCTAAAAAATTTTTTATGTGTATGAGTGTCTGCATGTATGTAAATGCACCCTGCGTGTGCAGTACCCAAGGAGGCCAGAAGAGGGCACTGGATCCCCTAGAATTAGAGTTACAGGTGGCTGTGAGCCATCATGTAGGCACTAGTGCCCTTTTTTTTTTTTTTTTTTTTTTTTGGTTTTTCGAGACAGGGTTTCTCTGTGTCGCTTTGGAGCCTATCCTGGCACTCACTCTGTAGACCAGGCTGGCCTCGAACTCACAGAGATTCGCCTGCCTCTGCCTCCCGAGTGCTGGGATTAAAGGCGTGAGCCACTTACACCTGGCCACACACACACTCTCTCTCTCTCTTTCTCTCGCTCTCTCTCTCCCTCTCCCTCTCCCTCTCTCTCTCTCCATACACACAAACACACACACACTTTTTTTTTTTACACAAACTTTTTTTTTTCTTTTTACTGAGACAAAGACTCACTCTGGCCCAGGCTATCTTGAAACTCATTATGTAGGCTAACCTAGTCTAGAACTTGACTGATTCTCTTCAGCCTCCCAAGTCCGTTCTTTCGTGTGTGTGTGTGTGTGTGTGTGTGTGTGTGTGTGTGTGTGTGGTGGTGGGAGTGACTAACAGGTGTGGTGCTAATGACTGAACCTAGGGCCTCATACATGCCAGCAAGTACTCTGACACTGAACTATCTTGTTTGAAAGTCTCGTGTAGCCCATGCTGTCATGGAGTTCTCAAGTGCTAGCATTACAGGCTTGCCCCTCCAACCCTGACATAGTAGACCCACACAGGGTAGGCCATAATGGGTCTAACCACTGAACGACACCCTCAGCCCATCCTAATCTCCAGAAAGAAACGGAAGCTGGACATAGCGGCTCATACTGGTAACCCTAGCACACAGGAGACTCAGGCAGGAGGATGGCCATGAGCTCCAGACAAGCATGAGACCCAGCCAAGTGCTGAACCCCTTGGAACTCAGCGTCATCGCGCTATTCAGTAAGTGGCCTTGGCAGAATCCTCCTCTTTGCCTCGTCCCTTCTGACCACTAAAGGCCGCTATTAACGGACAACAGACCGCGGACGGGAGCCAAGGGGGAATTTCCTTGCCTGGCTGGTTGTCGCTAGGCTCTGGAAACCACCATGACTTCCCCAACCCTCTGCAAAGCCCCACCCCGAAACCACAGTTGATTTCAGTTTTACTCTTGGCCTGCAAAGAAAGGTGAAGATAAACACTCTAACAAACAGCCTCGCTTAACAAAAAAAAATATATATATATACCGAACCCCAGCTGGAGAGATGTCGCATTCAAATCTACTGGGCCAGTGGCTTCCGGCCGACCTAGACCCCGGTTAAAAACTGCCCACCCATCTCCTCCGGCGCCTCTCCAGGGCTACCTGTTGCCATGGTGATGAGGACGGGCTCCCGCTGGGGCTCGGGCTGAGGTCGCAGCAGGCTGGAGAGGCTGAAGACCGTGCTGGACACGCTGACCAGCAGCCAGTCCCCGTCCAGGGCCCGCGGGCAGCTCTGCTGCGGCGTCAGATGTCTGGCCCAGGTCGCCGAGGCGGGGAACGGGATGAAGCGGCTCATCTCGCAGTGTGGTGCGGGGGCGCCCGAGGGGTACCGCCTGAAGGCAGCCAGGAGCATTCCCGCTGGGTCTGCGGGACGGGCGGGACCGAGAGGACGCAACTGTAGCCCCGGCTGGAAACGTGCGTGCGGATTGTGCACAGACCAGACCGGAATGCACGTGCTAGCGAAGCAGCGAGACACAGGGGCGGTCCAGACTTATTCACAAGGGGGAAACTGAGGCCCAGGGTCCCTCCGTGAGCTAAAGGGGAGGCGGTAGATGCAGGCGAGTACCGAAGACTCACCATCCACCTTGAAGTACAGCTTAGGGTCAAGGTGTGGCCGGGGCGGAGGACCCCTGGGTCCTGGGCGCAGCAGCAATGCGGCAGGCTTCTTGTTCAGGCCGCCCCGACCCGCGTCTTCCACGAACCAGCACTCAATCGCCTCCGGCCCGGCAGAGACGGCGGGCAGCAGGCCTGGGGGAGAGGGCGCCGGTGACAAGTGGCCAGCATGCCCGCCCAACGACCTCCCTTCGGGCCCGAGGGACAAGGGGCCACCTCCCTGTCCTTCCCAGGGTGCCCTTTCCTTCTTGTTGGAAACGGGGTCCGCTCACCCAAAGCCACAGCGAGGAGCAGCCGCAGAGGCTTCATGGCGCGGCCGTCTCTACTCTAAGTCTCCTCCCCCTTTCGCTTTCATTTTCCTCCAAAGGCCGGCGGGAGGGGACCGGAACTCCCGCGCAGGTCAGGTGAGGCTCGACGGACTGCACTGACATCGCGAGCGAACCCGCCTCCGGTCCCCCGGCCCTCCGCGCTCGCCCGCGCTCCTGGGTCTCCCAGGCTCCTCCCTCTCGGCGCCGCCTCCCTCAGAACCGTTCCTCCCGCCTTCTCCGGCCTCCAGACAGGTGCCAGGTCCCAGCAAACATAGGGGTGGTCGGGAAGCCAAGCGAAGTGACCAATAAATACTTTAATCACCGTTAAGAATTAAAACCTATACTAATTAAAACCCGGTCCTTGTCTCCGCCCACTTCC